GAATGTCCGGATCTGGCGGGATCCCGCACAGGATCCCGGACGGGATCTCGCGGGATCCCGGCGGGAAATTGCCGGGATGAAAGACATGGGTTGATACCATCATTCCTGGTGCAACAAAATTTACAAATTTAGGAGCAAGACTTCCATAAACAGGATTTTCTATTATGACTGGTAGATCAGCTACAGACGGATCAACTCCTAGACTGGATAAAATTTTCTTTTAAAAATAGTTCTGTACTATTTATTAGAGCATCTTGCACTGTTAATAACACTTGTTGATCTTAATATAGAAAAAAGATACATTTCCTTTCGTATTTTATGAAACGATTCAAGATGAACAGAATTTTATAACTGCTCTTATACAATGCTTGACTGAATCTAAAAAACATTATTATAATCCTTCTGAAGCACTTTTTCATGAAAATTTCAAATTCAATTAGTTTTATATTTCTTTTCAAGGAATAAAAACGTTGAAATGTGTTCAGAGCATGTACTTTAGTCCGTAAAACTACTGAGTGCCACCATTTTCCAATCCGTTTAAGAGAATAAAAAAATCGATACAAATAGTAAATTTTGTATTTTTCCTTTGTTTTCCTCAAAACTGGTTTTTATATAAAAAAGTGAAAAATCATCCTCATTTTTTCTGGCGTTATATACTCTAATGAAAGAAAATTCAAAGAAATTACGGTCCTTATATAGGATCTAGGAAATACAAAAAACAAGCATTTTACTTCTATGAGACTTAGCATGGAGATTATGGAGATACTTTCTATGAATAATTAGTATTTGTGACTCAGTTTTCTTAGAAACGAATATTTGGCAATTCTAAGAGTAAGACAATACTTTCCTACTCATTGAGATCTGTTTACTCTAAAGACTTCTTTTTTGATTGAGTTGCTCCTCAGAGATATAGTTAAGTCCTACATCTGCCACGAAGTTAAGATCGCATCAGAGCAATGGATGTATGGGTTTAGAGCTCCTACACTAATGGTATTCACCTACAAAATTAAATTATTCAAAGGTGGTCCTGATATTAAGGGACAAAAAGTAGGTTTTTGTGTGTTCTATATTCATATTTTGCATTAATACACCGATATGTAATTAACGGTTAGCTCTGTAATTTGAGTGGATTCAATTTGTCAGTTTCATCTGTATTAACTCATTTCTTTGAACTATTTGATACGAATGGTACGGGGACGTACGAGTTTTGTTCTGTTTTTAAATTAAAATTCTTCTCTAAACTATATACAGGAGAGCATGATTCGGTTTACAATGTGTATAAAATACTGATCAAAAATGTGAATGTGACTCTTGTTTTCTACATTCCGAAAGTCACTGAAACTTATCCCATCTATTATAAAGTCTCTTTTCAATGATCCTTTTACTGAAAATCTTCTTCTGAATACATTGACTTACTTGTCATGTCAAGGTAAAGATGAAGTGAGGATGCGTTTAGAGTAGCGGGATCTGTCTGAAGTCCTGTTAATCTTTATAAAAAAACCAAGTCAATTAATATTCAATGTACACTACAATTAACACGAACTTATTTTTTGACTGCTTGTGTAAAATTATCTTGAATGGCAATCACACCCCAATACTGCCCTTGTCTAACAAGATCCATGGCTTTATTAAAATCATTAAATGGTGCCTTCCATTTTCAAATAAAATCAATTTTAATCAAGAATAAAAGAAACTATTCCAACATACAATATCAATTTGTTGAGGATTTATTTGATTCAAAAGTTGTAAACTTAAATTTCCTGTTGGAAATCCATTTACAGCTTCACCATTATAAAGTGCCATTGAAATATGTTCAATATCACCTAAATATCCTTCTTCAAATAATGTAAGATCAATAAAACTTGAAAATATCTTATGATCAATACACAGACAAAAAAAGCGAAATCTGAATAACAGGAATTAGAAATTGAAATATTAACAAACTAAAAATACGCCAACATTCATCACTAAACTAAATACCAGAAAAAACAGTCAAGTTTACCTAATATTTCGTTTAATCAATGTTAAATCTTTCATCATTAATGCATAAATTTTATGTATATCAAGAAATTTAAAATAATCAATAACTTTTTTTTTTGTACATACCGATTAAAAATTAATAAATATATTTTATTCCCTATTTCCGACCTAAACTTACAGTTTTTTCTTGAGGTTTGTTTCTTGTTGACTGTTATCAGAAGACCTTCAACAGCTGTATCCGCAATATAAGTTGATTCAAAATTTTGATCGTCAATACTGTTGGATATGTCGGTATCATGAGTAACATTGTTATTATTCGTTGCTGTTTGTTGTTGGATACGATTTTGATCTTCATAACATAAATGAAGGAAAACATTTTCTAAACTCTAAAAATACCATGTGATCTAATTGAATGAATTTTTAATAGATTTCTAAACAAACAGTTTCATTATATTGATTTAAAAGGTGGTTTGGTTCATCCTCAGCTAACATTCTTCCACTTCGCATCAGTCCAACCTAAATGGAACTTTTTTTAATGACTCAAAAATTAAAAAAAAAGAGAATCTCCTACACGATTAGCTTTCCTTGCTTCTTCAATATAATGGGTTGTTATCATTATTGTTGTTTTAGATGTCTGCGATAAATATATATGATGACTCCAGATTCTTTAAAAATAATCTTAGATTAAAAAGGAAATGAAATTCTAGAATGATGAACCTTTCTCGAAGTAAAGGATCAACTCCAACAATTGGTTCATCAAGTAATAATAGTTGAGGTTGTTGAAGAAGAGCACACGCTAATGAGATGCGACGCTGTTGACCACCACTTTAATATAGAAATAACAAAAAACAAATATAAGAATATTTGTATTAAAAATTTTTAATAGAACCTTAATTGTGAAACTCGCTTTGATTTTGGAAGTAAATCGAGAAATGAAATAAGAAATTCTTCTCGAGATAAAATGTCTCTTCGTTTCATGTTATGAAGACGACCGAAATAATGAAGCATTTCGGATATTGAAAAATTTCTATAAAGTGCTGTTTCTTGTGGCATATAGCCAACAGCTCGGCCTGGAATACCATATCCATGTGCACCTGGCTGTTTACCAAAAACAATTACTTCATCTTGATTTAATTCTAATCGCCCAACAATACATCGTAGAAGAGTTGTTTTACCACATCCTGATGGACCTAATAAACCATATCTAGATTTAAATATGTATTATTATTCTTTATTTTTCAAAAATTAAATAATATACATGATCCTTGTTGGAACATTCACATTTATACCATGTTGAACTGTTACTGACTTCCACCAACAGCCATATCTTTTCCATGCATTTTCAACACAAACAGCCAAATCAGTTGATTCATCCTTGAATAAAATCAAAACAAAATATTTTTCAATCAGTAAAAATGCAATAAGTCTTTAAATTACAAAATTAAAATTCATCTTTGAGTTTATTTGAAATACATATTTTAAATTTAAAATCAATCTCAGAACAAAAGTAACAAACACACATTTACATTATCAAGCACATTATCGCTTACCATCACCAAACATTCAAATACAGCTGCAGAAGGACGACATCTCTTCTTTTTTTTTCTTACGTACGTTCTTTTCTTCGATGAAACAGACGTGTAAGAAATTAAAAAAATCAAACATTTCGCGTTACTGTTCATGAATCCTAGTGGATACGACGAAAAAAATCTTGTATTTTTGCCATCTTATTTTTACATTAGCGATTCAATTCATTGATAAGAACATCCCCATGTTCGTGCAGTCGATGAAACAACAAAATCTGTAATGTAAAAAAAGCATGTATCCTTTTTCTGAACAGCGAAACAGCCAAATATCGATACCTTGGTATTGTCAGATGAAAAATGAACAGCGTTGCAGCTCGACAATCTAACAAATACTAGACAAGAAATACCTTTCCAAAAATAAAATCATTCTAAACCAATAGTAAGAACTCGATAGCGACTTATTTTACTATTAGATCGACGATTTAATACTCTATCGATTCAATTCTTATGTAAAAATATTCAGTTTAAGGCCTGATTCAGATCTAATTTTTGAGATAATTTCTTTTGATGAATAATGAGCTATTCATATTTCTTAAGTTTTATAATGACTTATTGGTCCTAAAATGCTCACAAAATAATTCACAGAGTGGATGAACACCAGACTTAGAAAGCATTCACATATGCACTCCATACTTCTAGTTTTTATTCTTAATTTATTAGATTCTTTTGTTAGATTTATTAAAGCAACATGTTTTTTCTGGACTGTTTGATTGAATAAGTTCCCATGATTTCACCATCAATCAATTTGATTAGCGAAAGCTCACTGCCAATGAGTTATTTTTGGCATGAATTGTTAATGAAACAATACATGTCTGTCTTATTTCATTTAATCGATCTCATTCATTGAACTTTTACTGATCGTTATTGGACAGAGGGGAAGAATAAGGGTGTGGGGTGTGGGTGTGGGGAAATAAGAGGTCAACATCCACACGCCGAAAAACTTAAATTTGCCTTCTTTTTTTATTTGTTCTTGTAATATTTTCACTGATTCGATTATTTATCTCGCTTTGAATTGTCTTCAATCAGAAGAACAATCATCATCGAACATTTCAAAAGTCCTTATGAACCCAATAAGGTCAGAGAAAAGGACATGAAGTTATTTATTCGAGTAATTTAGTCATCTTTTATGAGCAAGAAATGTATGGACGTGCTCTCGACTACCATCTAACACCATTGAAGATTAAGGAAGCTATACTGCCTATACATTATAACATAGCATCGATATACACATGATTGAAACGATTTGATTTGCTTTTTAATGATTGTCAGATTGGTTTGAAATTGAAAGGTTGTGGATGTTGATTTTCTCTTTACTACATCCACACCCTTAAATTACATTCTGATAAAACCTTTTCAACATTAATCCATTTCTGAAATATGTTAAATATATTCGCAAGTTTAGTTTGAAAAGATATATTATGATTGTGACTTCAATTTTCAAGTTTCTATTTCAACTGAGTTAATTATCTGATGTGATACTGAGCTAGGTTGATTTCTACTAGCTATACAAGTAAGATCCCTGAAAGTTTGAATCTTTTGATCATAGTCAAGTTTTGTTAACTTTTTTTATGTCAATCATGTTACTTGATCCATCCAACTTTGATTTTTCAATCTCATATTGAATATTTTTTCAAAATGAACTGAATAAAAATCAATATAATTCTTTTTAGAAATTCACTATAATTGTCAACTGAATTGAAGATCTTTATTTTAAGAAACGAACTAATGTAATGAATAGATCGCTCATCATTGTCTTTGAAAAAAGTCATTTAATTTTTCGAAAAAATTCATAAAATTTGTCTTTTCTT